ATTATTGGTGAACAGTGGCGAGGAGTTTTAGATAAGGACAACATAGGTGTTTAGGATAATTTGCTTTTGATTAGCCTTCAATCTGATGCCAGTTCATGATGAGAACTATCCCCAATCTGCTTTGATTTCTTTTATTTCAGCTTCAGTTCGAATTAATGTACGATAAACATTTATATTTTAGATATTAAAGCTGATTTATTAAACACACTCATGATATCTCGTGGATATAAATTGTTTTAAAAACGCCTCTTTAGTGACACAGTTACTTACAATCACTTTAGTATTAAACATTTTGTAGTACCTAGTGGATTGAGAAACAGCCTTCATTTACGTTTTCATAAACTTATTCGTTGAAATTTATACTAAATATATCATTATAGACAAAACAAATAAAGATTAGTGGTATGTTTTGTATGTATGTTGTGGATGGCTTTTAGAAAAAACTGACGAAATCCAGTGGGACAATTTGTTTCACTATAACAGAGTTAGCCGATTTTTACTTACATAGACACATGTTATTAATCCATCAATAAAGAAACTTATAAGTTGATAAGCTTCGAAATGAAATATCATCTAATCCCTAATACATGTCTATGCACCTATCTTAGTGATAGATAATAAAAACCCTAGAAATTTTCTTGAATTGATTCTTACATTAGAAAAGTGAGATTACCACTAGTACTAAACTCAGTTTACGTACTAGAAAATCAGTGAATAACAACTAAATATCATGTTTCTTTTAGCTTGAAGATTCTGATTTCATACTACTATTGTTACTCTATTTGATATTGAGATCATGTTCACTGTGTAGATTCTCTTTAACCTTGGATGGATGCTATTTGTTGAACAGTCCCATACTAGGACGAAACGACAGTCCTGTGCTTCCACGTTTTCGATGGTGGTTTAACTTAGACCAACTCATGGTTTAAATGAATCCCAAGAGTCCTTGCGACTCCACACTGAAAATAATATATTTGTAAGTCTTTAAACGTCAGTGTCATTCGATTTAATCACCAAAAAATAACGTTCACTGTTTTGTAATTGGCAGTCGAACATTCATCAATAACAACTTTCATTTTTTTGTCCGCTGCAATAGTATATACGTCCGTAGACTATAAAGGTTTAGTTATTTAACCATTAAGAATATCGAAAGTAAATGGGAATCGAACCTGACAATAAATTATTCATATTCGAATTTATCGTAAAATCTGACCACATTAGGTAAACTAAGTTAAAACTTGTCAACAATGAGAGATTTTCAAAAACATCACATGGTAGTAAGCATATTACTTGGATCTTGAATAGTTTTTGTGAGAAATATATATTCCAAATGCAAAGTATTTATAAAACTCAATAAATACTTGAAAATGGTTACTGTCTTTATTGATTCATACTTCAAGTGTTCTTTCATGAGTTTAAAAAAAGATACTCAAATGAATTCAGTTATCTAATAACCGATAAGTAAATAATGATTGATAACTAAACTGAAATAAATGTGTTCGTTTATTTATTCTACTAATAATTTTGTTTATTTAATCCGGTAAGAGTGAATGGTTATTTATTGTTATTAGTTTTTTGCTTTACTGTAAATAAATAAACGAGTAAACAAACAAACAATTCCTGAGAATTATTTCCAAGAAAAAAAGAAGTGCTTATTAGATTTACAGTAATGAACTTATTGATCATTTGTAATTGATTATTTATGAAAGAAAAAACTGTAAACAAATCTTGTTGAGATCATTTGTTTTTTTTTTATATTTTTTTGGTAACTAGCAAGGTCACTTTATTTGGCAAAAATGTAATTGGATTTTGATAACATCCATATGATTGAACATTGTTTGCCATGATCAATTTATATACTTAATACAAAGTTTGTAGTGGCTTAGTTTCGTCAATTAATCACCTTGATAACCGTTATTATATAAACGGTGTTTGGATTCAGAAGGCAATATGAAGTGGCGACTATAATTTATTAGTGGATAGCACAGATAACAAAGTTAGAAGCACATCGAGCGAATTTGGAGCAGAGAGGCTAATGTGTGTTTACAAGCGAATTTATACAGAGGGGAACCGAATCAAGGTGCAACTAAGTAAGACTAAAGCTATTAATAGGATTCGAGCACATATATACAAGCAAAAGAGGATGACTCATGAAACGGTATTAACATTTAAGTTAGAGATATGTGCATATGTTGTCATATGTGGATCAAGCGTACACGTTTATAATAGTTTAAAATTATGATGACAGTGATCATAATAATACGAAGAAATAGATGAATTTTTATTGTTCAAATAATACTGTCTGTTAAATAAGTTAATAAAAGGGCTTAACAAAAGTCAACCATAGTCGAAATTAACCGTAGGAGAGTTGCTATAACTTCTAAAAACTCCATTTTTGTTATTTTATTTAATTAAAAATTTGTAGTTCTTAATCTGCAGTTTTAAAGGATCTAAGTACGTTATACTTGGTTATCCTTAACGTTCATCAATTTGAATTCTTAAGTGTAAAACATGATGAGAAGTCATTGGAAAGGAAATTCTTCATTCAGTTCATGTATGTTTGTTGTAATAAAGTGTAAATATTGAAATAGTTTATTTTTAAGAAATCTTGTTTGATTGTTTAGTAATTAACTCTACTATGATTGGAACTGAATTCTCATATAGGTCGGACTTGGTTATATGACAACAATTCCTAATTTGTATTATATTGTTTAGTTTTCCAAAGTAATCAGCAGCTACCACGAGAATCATAAACTTGTAATTGATTGTCATGTAATGTTATATCATATAAATGTAGTGAATGATTTCAAGTAATAATAGTTTGAGTTCAATATAATCTTAGGTTATCTGTTTTAACAGCTAAGCCAATAGCTTTCAGTCTTCCTATTAGTGATTTCCTAATTTTTTGATGATTAGATTAACGTAAATTTTCTTCTAGTATCGCATAGATTGTTTGTTGACATCCTTATTGTTTACAAGTATTATATATTGAAATTAAAAGTCTAATGAATTGCCTCAATATCCGCTTATAATCAAGTACAGTTGAGATAATAAAACAAAAAGATTTACAAAAGATTTCAACCCTGCAGTAACTCAAAAGTTATTCATTATTTTTACTTAGTAGAAAATTGTAATGAAATGTTCGATAAATGAAAATCAACGTGAGGGTTAGGTCACAGTTAGGATCATTTTTACTTTGAATCATATAGAATGTGAATACAAGAAGTTCAAAAACTACTGAATGTCAACTAGTAAATTTTAATAACACACATTAAAATTAAATAGAATACCTTGTATTAAATCTAACAATACTCTGTCGCAGTGGTGTAAGGGATATTAAAAATAAGCTTTATATCCTACCTAGTCTACTTCAGTTAGGAAGGGAGTATGACCATAGTATTAAAAGCTTTCAGATAGAAAATCCAACTACGACTTTTGGGTTTTCACGGGAAATTCAAATATCATGTATTATGAGCAGTGTGAATACCATTAAATACTACTTAGAACTATTAAAAAGGAGGTGAAAAATTATGTTTGCAACCACAGAGCAAGGTCGATAGTTTCTTATATATCAGATATACTCTTTGTTAAGTGCTGTCAAGGTATCGAACATAATTAGAGTTTCGTGAAGGCTTACCTTTCAATATTTAATGTTGAATATATCTTCGAAAAAAGTGGACATGAATTCATTTAGCAAGTGCAAAGTATGTATTATTTGAAATGCAGTTGTGAAGGTGGATTTTTAGTAGGGTTATTAATAATAAGTTATATTTATCTCATAAAGCTGTTAAATATATTTAGATAGTTGAGATCATGAGTCATTTGAAGCTGGACCACCATAGAAAACCTGGAAGCACTGGACGGCCGTTTCGTCCTATTATGAGACTCCTCAACATTGCTCATCCATGACCCCATCCAGCGGGCTTCGAGACCAGGACCTATCAATCTCGAGCGCGAGGTCCCGCTTGACGGGATCATGGATGCGCACTACTGAGGAGTCCCATAATAGAACGAAATGGTCGTCCAGTGCTTCCAGGTTTTCTATGGTCGTCCGGCTTCAATTGACTCACGATTTCAACTAGTGAAATTACTACAATCACCACCAAACCCCTTCAAATGTACTTAGATCAATAGATTACGAAAATTAGTTCAGCTTGACGAAAGTTTCCATCACAATCTGCCAATAGCCGAGGGAACACTTCCCGATTGTTCAATATTTTATTTAAGATTACTCAGTCCATAATGTAAAACCGTCTTTAGAGTTGTATATTTCATTGTTAACTTTGATGAAATATTTAAAATGTTTTCTAAAAAGAACACTATACCTAAATTGAGGCTTTTATCAGTTTTTAAGCTTTTATTATCATTCTGAATAATTTCACCAGCTCTTATATCAGTGCATCTATCTAAGCTACAAAGCTTTGTGTTATCGTTTTAACGAAATTCCTGTTTTCTACTAACCTAAGTATAAATTAAGAACATTTTAAGTATAAGTATTAGATTATTTAGAAACATACATAAAGTTACATATCCATTTCATTTATTTAGCTTGACCAATTCACTTGATAAATCATGGACAGTCGTTTGAATGAGTCAAAATTATGAATTCACTATTTTCATTAGATTTACTAATCCATTTTAGATGACATAACATTAATCAAATGACTTTTGATAAACAGATTGATCTTTCTCTTTTAGTTATTCATTATCTATTTGTACTTTAATTATTTCTTTTGTATGATATAACTATTAAGTGATTACATATGTATATCAAGATTAAAACCATTCGATCATCAAACTAAATATACACTTGTCTTATTCAATTTTATCAATAACAATATGACCTATCATCTCCATTATATCTTATCTTACAATGACAAATATGTTGGATGAATTAATCGATTTTATGATGTAATAAATAATGATTTTAATAAAGTGATATTAATAATAATAATAGTAATAATAATCAATGAATTGGATCAATATTCATGTTCACTTACATGTTTGATCATTGTCTTTTCTTCTATGCGCGTAATGTTCCATAGCTGAAATAGTTCAAAAATAAAATCAATTAAGTTAGTTATATAAAATGGTTTTCAGTCAGTGATAAAATTAATTTATTAGTAAAAACATTTGTTTAACAGAAACCAAACATAGAGGTGGATTGCGGAAGTAAAATCAGTTTGTTTTTTAGAAGGACCCTTATTATAAAATGATATGTTATGATGAATAACAAAAAGGTAAACATTTCATGATTGTTGGGTTTTAACCTCCTTTGGGATTGTATTGAACACCTAACTTTATTGAATAGAAATACAATGATTAAAATTTTACGTTACTATTTTGTAGCTCAGTGAATTGATGTGTTAATTAAAGATGTATTCAAAGAAGCACATCTGTATGGTAAATGAGGTGATAAGAACCTTCACTCTGCTGTGATTTGTGCATAATCTGTAACTTACACTGCAATTTTTGTGTAACTTAGTAATGTTCATTGTGAAGATTCATAAATACTATTCATTATTGGGTTTGAGGGAATTGCTGCATTGGTAAATTATTCTATCAATAAATATACGGTGTATGGTGTCGTTTGATAGTCTGATCTAGATAAAGGCATACGGTGAAGCACCACTGCTATTTAACATCCTCCTGTGCAAATTGTACTGGTCACAAATACTCTACACACTTCCAAATGATCATGCTCTTGCCACTTCCGTTGTTGCATAAATATTCGCTCCATTTAAATAATGTCATTCTCTTTATTCACCAGTGATTAGGCGTACACAAAATATGGAAAGACATTTTAGCGTGTTAGTTTCATTTCGTTATAATCCACTGAAGCCATATCCCCACTTTACTAGGCATCATAAAACTTTCGCGATGTCACAGCAAGCAAAGTGTTGCTAATCTTCGAAGTTATGAATCTGTAGACATTATCTAGAGTTTATTTTCGTTTCTTCTAATGTCTTGGTTTTCCATTACTACATATAAGATGTATTTGAGTAGTATTGTACTTAAGTAGTTTTTCGAAATTTACCTAAAATGGCAAATTGTAGGTTTTTACGGTCAACGCATTCAATGGGTGCTTAAGAAATCTATCTGTTCATCATACTTACCATCCATCACTCAGAATTAACCATAGTACCCTAAACTTAGCGATACTGCATCATCACAGCAAACTGATATGTAGTAGGTAATGAATAATAGCGAACTTATTTTCTTTCTGTTAGTAGAAAAAACAGCTATCTTTGAACTATGCAATAACTTTCCATTGCAATCTACTCTGTCCACAGATATCAATTAGCCTCTTACAAAATTTTTAATGGTAGGTAAGTTATCTAACAAATAAAACATTCAAATCAGGTAATTTAACTTTAGTGCATTAGGCAATATAAGAATAAAACCTTTATAAAATAGAGAGCTTGATGTGTATGTTACTACTAACATTGGTAATGTTCATAATAATTCAGTTTGTAATGGGCAATTTAAAATCTGGCAAAAATGTACATTATCCTAAGTTGTCATACTATATTAGTACGGTGAGATAAAATGAATAAGTGAAATATAAAAATAGCTGAAACAAAATTAGTATCTCTGATGCTAAAAATAAAAAAAAATATAGGAGGAGAGTATGTGAAAAGGAATGGATTCCGTACATAAAACATACGAAATATTATTAAACGTTACGACTTAGTAAAAGATATAAAGTGAATTCATTATAGTCACTTTGGCTAACTATGAGCTGTCACCCGACGAATTCAACCACTGATCTTGGTTATCACTCAGAATCCAACCCGATAGTCTGCACATAACGATACGGCTCAGTCTGATAGTCAGTATTGATTAAAAATGATAATTTGGTTAAAAATGCTGAAAAGAGTCACTAAACTATCTTTTATGAAAATAGATGTTTCTTATAAAATTGGGCAAAATTAACGGTTTCTTTAACCAGCCAATATTTTGTTTCATATTATGACACTAAAAAACTGATAATTAACTTGAATTCAAAATGGAAGGTTAGTGTAAATTTACTTGTTTGCCCATCCATGTAATTGGTGTGTTGATTAATAATTGCTACATTTTACAATTAGTAATTTTGACTAATAAATAGACTTGTTTAATTGAGTCCAGTTGACTGAACCTATTAAGTATCGAATAGTCATGGCACTATGCGAATACGTCATTTTTTTACAACCAAATTTAATTCACATTCCGCTTAACATTAAGAGAATTATTATAAAACATAATAATAAGTGATGACTATATCATTTCATGAGTTGTTACTGTGAAGTAAAAATATATTTCAATCGTAAAAACATCTGAGGAATGTTTCTACTGGAGACAAATTCATTTTTAATGTTACATTAGTCAAGACAATAGAGTAAAAGGCCCTTGGATCAAATTTTTTATTGATTTAAAATGATCAGTGAGACACACTAGAGATTGAGTGTTCATGCGCGAGATTTAAGGTCCTTGGTTCCAGTCCCGCATGTGGGATCATGGATGCACACTGCCGAGGAGTCTCATAGTAGGACGAAACAGCCGTTCAGTGCTTCCAGGTTTTCAACAGTGGTCTAGCTTAGATCGACCCATGAATTCAACTATTAAAACATCTTAGTATTTTAGTATTTACTATTACCAAACTTTCGGTACCAATTTTTTGAGTGACTACATTGTAAGCGTAATTGATATAATTTAATTAATTCTAGAAATAGTAATAGAAATCTTGAACTTATTGTTTACTGACCAGTTAGTACATGTTCGTCTCTCAGTGAAAGTTTTACCCACAATTGGTGAACAAATCTATGTGAGTAACTGATTTCCATAGATTGAAGTTATTATCGGTAGTCAGATAACTAATCATTCACCTAACAAATTAGACAAACACTTATATAATTATTACTGACAGTCAACTTGCCTATTTACACTTCATTATCATAAAAATACCGTACAATTATTCAAAGATATCTGCAATAATTTATAGTGACTTAAGATATCCTCTACTTCCTATTTCTTTGTTAATTACTAATCAGACTCCAACAACTCATTAGTACTAGTATTCCTCAGTTTGAGTTAACTTCATACCATTATATCAAAAACATTATATGGAATTCATTATAGTGATTCAACTGTACTGAAAAATTGCTTGTTTATTAGTGTATAATACTTAATTTGTTTACAATTTAATGAGACTAGATTAATTTATCTTAAAGATTTTCGCACATTTATTGCTTAGAAGTTTGATATCTTTCATGAATGTTACAAACTGTAGATTTTTAGTAAATTTGGAGTTTTTTTCATAATAAATTCAAATCAGTTAGGAAAGCATTTAAACTAAGTAATGATATCGAAGTTGGTCTATCCTTGGGAAGGCCTGTCTACAGAATTAAGAAAACTAACAAACTCTTTAGACCGTAGAACATTTTAGCTTATCTTTACTTACTGTGCATCTTTAATCTTACATTTTTCATGTCTCATAATAAGCAATTTTAGCACAGAGAAAATCGAATCAAAATTTTATTGACCAAGCCTTCCTAGCATTATCCTGTTGTAAAATAAAATTAGTGTTCCATACATTTTGATAGTCGGATATTTTTGGAAGTGAAATTAAATTTTGTTTAGGCTTTAAGTGGTCAACGTTTAAAAGCTTTTTAAGAAATTTTTATGCTATTAAGTTAGAGGGATGATTGAAATCTAGTCTTTGGACGAAAAACATTTGTAAATTGTCAGATTTCACTAGAATAGATTATGTAATCAAAACAACATTACGCAATTGATAATATGGATGTCATTGTAACTAAACCTTGATATGTAACTAAATATAAATATTAAATTCCAAGCCTTTTGTGAAGATTAAACTGTCAAACTAAAGAACCCTTCAACTTTATCAGTGACGAATAACTTAGCAGCTGTCAAACAAATCAGACAGCAATGAAATGTTTATACAACAAGAAATGTTTTATAAAAATGTTAGATGTAATTTGTTTTTTTTTAAACAAAACTTTGATTGCAGTTTACTCACTTTTATTAGTTGCTAAACAAAATTTATCAATTAAAAGTCCTATTTTTTTTACTAAATTAACTCATTATTTCTTATCATGACAGTTTGTAGTCTATTGATATTCTAGTTGACATGCAGAGATGATCTGAAAATCAGATTCTTTCTATAGCATAGCATTCATTTTGAACTTCTAATGATGAAAATGGTGATAGAGCAATTGATGAATCCCATTTACTTTAAATGAATAATTAAATCAATTAGAGATTCCAGTAAAATATACAGTGAATAGATAACAGCTTGAAGAAGGATGTGGAACGTTGAAGGTTGGTAACACATAACACTGTTAAGTTTAGAATTATAGGTTCAATTTTAAAAGAGTCGTGAGTGGATAGTGTGGAACATTAAAAGAGCATAAAACAAATTTATGATCTATACTAGGTTTCCGTGGTTTGGTGAGTAGTTTATATTTAGGATCAAACATAAGTTTGCTATTCTTGTTCCCCATAACAGTGTCCTCTGATGATCTTAACAACCAAATTAGTTGTGGTTTGTAATATTGGAACAATATACCCTATCATCTCAGCGATTTATTTAAAAAATACCTTCACGGAGCTCATTTTACTCTAAGTTTTATTGCTGTCCTTTGAAAAAAAAATTTGATAAATTACTTGTCAACAAATGTTATTCTGTCGTGCAATACTGAAGAGATCTCATTGAGTTTGTATGTTCATGATCGTCTGATTATCCCTAGGAAACGGCTTAATAGATAATAATTTAAAACTTTCAAAAGGTTAGTTGAAACACTGAGTCACGGCTTTAAGCTATACTTTATGGGAAGGACAGGTATATATTTTAGTGAAGTAAAAACACAATGGCCGAAAATTAATCGACGTGATGAACGTATACCAAATGTTGATTGATTACAAAACATAAATTCTTAAAGTCAAAAGTGAGATAATACAGATGGGAACTGATTAATCATTGTTAGTTATAAGCATTTATTGTAATACATGTGAAAGAGTTCGTAAGAATTGTTCAGAAGAT